TATTTATTAATCAGTTTTATTAAATCGCGATATTAATAATTGTTTTTCTTTTCGAGAATAAAATTATCATAATTCTCTTTTTATCCTATAATATCAACTGGATGTAGGTATACAATATACATCTTTATAGAATATTTACATTCTGATTTTGTATGAGGAAATATATCAAAGTATGCTGAAGAAATAATGCTGAATGATAAGAATAGCAACAGCAAAGTGTCAGGGTATAATATCTGTTCAAAATAATCGAGCGTATGGTGGACAGCCGAATTATGTTATTTCTTAGGGATGTAAGATTTCTAAGGTACATCCGATGGAGTCATTCGGCGAGCGCGTTTCTTCACGTGACGCACGGAGAATAGGACGTTTGAATTACGCAGAGAGTTCAACCGTAAAAAAAGCTCAGATTCTACTGTAACCGTCGTCGGCTTTTTCTCTCTGTGCAAAGTAAGAACGAGAGTTTGCTGCGAGAGCGCCCCGCAATAAAAATATATTTATGTGAATGATAAAAGAATTGCGCATCCTTTCTCTCTCTCTTCTCAAAGTGAAATTAAAGGAGTGAAAAACTAATACGAAGCATGAAGATAATCGGTAAAATAAGAAGATTTTAATTGTACATATAATGCGCAATTAATGTAATTAAACTAACTATTTATTTGGAAAGTGATATTAGTCTATTTTTCTTAAACGTCACAAATTTTTCATAACGCATTATGTCGTTTATTGATATATGTGTATATATATATATATTTCGGTAAGATATTATCGATGTTGGACTTATTGTCGTATGCGTACCAAGAGAAATATTTTCAGAATACATTGAATGGCATTAACATAAGAAGTCGATAAAGCTGTAAATTGGATTATTTTAAATCTGAATTGTTTTAATATTTTATTATGGACGACATTACATTTTTTACATTATGGAATTTTACATTATTGACATTATTTAATACACAATTTTTAACAAGGTAACTATCTTTTAACACTTGTTTAACATGTTATTTTAGATTCTTATAACAAATTATATAAATTTTATTAGATTGAACTTACTGTTATTGGATTAACTTTTACTTGATGGACTTCAATTTCAAGATGCAAATAATTTCCTGATATTACATGTATTTATTAGCGACACCGAAATTTTATAATTTATTTTTGTTACATTGAAGATGATCCGATCGGAGTCGAAACGTCTGTATTAAATTTTAAATTTTATATTACAAATTTCTCTTGCGTTCAGTATTTGGCTCATTGCCCTGATTATTACTCCTATTTTCAGAATACTTTTACAGAATAGTATTTTTGGACAAGCTATCTGCAAAGAACACTAAGGAAAAGTGGTTAGCGATCGAAAGAAAGGTATCGTGAAACTAGGCTGAAAAAAGCGCAGTCTCTCTGCGGTATCCAACAATAATCAAATCACGAAAAGACTGTCGCAATTAAGTTGGATATGACAGCAATCGTATGAAAATGCTTCTTTTACAATTTTTTACAAAGGAAATACTAATCTCAGAGCGAAAAAGGAAATAAGTATGTACCATTGACCGTGCGCATATCTTCATGGAAATGACGCGAGAATTTACACAATAGAGATAAGTTATTCACGCGTATATATTATACTATAATAAACGATACACATAGAAAAAAGTATTACATAAAAAAGATCTAGTCACATCGATCGAATTAATAGACCGACTGCACGAATCTTCCGTGTATAGTCCTACGTATTGACGAGATGATGTAGCGAATGGAAAGAAATATATTATATCGGGTTGAATAGAAATCACAAATAAGAGGGTGGTGATCATTATTTGATACGCTTTGCATCTCGCGACGGAGCAGATAGTGACGATAAAGTGAATGCCGAAAGGAGGTTACAGGGGTAGAAAGAAGAGAGGAGGACGCGAACACAGAGAGGAGAGAAAGATGCGAGAGTTTGGGAGAGCATAACGGGGGGGATGACGGCAGCGACGGCGAAGGGCAGGGGCGGGAAAGAGGGTAAGAGGGCGGCAGGCCGAGGGAGGTAGAGCAGCGCGAATGCAAATATTCGCAGCGACAGAGATTGAAACAATCCGCCAATTAGAATCGTCGACGCGAACGGGATTATGCAGATTCGCGCCGCCCGCCCGGTGGCGGACGGGACTGGCAGCTGCCGCAGCGCGAGCGAGCTTAATTCAATCCGCCGAGTTGTCTTATGAATCGTAAACCGGCCTTCCCTCGCGCGCCACGCCGCTCCGCGCCGCGTGAAATCGAGATCCGCACGGCAACGCGCAACGGTGACACGACAGTGCGACGACGGTGACGACGCGTCGTCGTCGTCGGAATGCTTCATCGCCTCGAGCGGAATAATATAATATAACGCCCTCTCTCTCCCGTAAAGTCCCTTTACGATCTTTCGAGAATAGCTCTCCAACTGCAGATACCATTTTCCCTTAAACGGAGTATTCGCGCGAGAAAAAAATCGTCGATGTTCCGAGGAAGGAGATTTTCTCTTATAGATTTCTCCTCCTCTCCAGTTGAACCGCGCTTCTCGTTTGAGAAATCGAAAATGTTCAAAAAACGTGATCTGAATTTTTCCTTAGGCTACAATATAAGTAATAAAAATAACGAAATATATCAGTAATTTGGATTTTATGAAAGTATATAGCGGATCGATCGAGACAATTTTTGCTAAGTAAAAAGAAACCCTATCTTGTCATCGCAGTTATAACTTCGACATGCATAGCGCAATGTACGGATGAGCGGAATTATGGCGGCGGCGGCGGCGGTGGCGGCAACGGGTATTTATCACGAAGAGTAAAACTGACAGCAGTCCATTTCCCGTTCGTCCTGCCTGTCTGGCTGAACATAATATCTCCTGACGAAACAACGTGGACGCCGTTTGTTTGGGAAACAATGGACCGAAACAATGCCCGATCCCTCTCTCACTCATTCTCTCTCTCTTTCTCTCTCTCACACACACACACACTGGACACGCACGGATACAGATCCCTTTCTCTCTCTTTCCCTATCTCTCTCTCTCTCTCTCTCTCTCTCTCTCTCTCTCTCTCTCTC